TGGGACGCTGGCCTCTCCTCCGAGGTGATGACGCTTCCCAACATGGTGAATGGTTCAGCCATGCTGAGGCTTCTTCTAGAGGCGTTCAGCCTCACCAAAGGGAGGCATGTGCAAGCGCCTCGGATTCGAACGAGGTGGCCCAAAGATGGGACGCTGGCCTCTCCTCCGAGGTGATGACGCTTTCCAACATGGTGGATGGTTCAGCCATGCTAAGGCTTCTCCCAGAGGCGTTCAGCCTCGCCAAAGGGAGGCAAGTACATACGCCTCAGATTCGAACGAGGTGGCCCAAAGATGGGACGCTGGCCTCTCATCCGAGGTGATGACGCTTCCTAACATGGTGGATGGTTCAGCCATGCTAAGGCTTATCCTAGAGGCGTTCAGCCTCAGCAAAGGGAGACAAGTGCATGCGCCTCGGATTCGAACGATGTGGCCCAAAGATTGGAAGCTGGCCTCTCCTCCGAGGTGATGACGTAATGCGACACGAATTTAATCATGGATAATTTTATTGAATCATGGAAATGTTACATAAGCTGGGAAAGATCGTCCAGCGAGGTAGTACATTCATTGATAATAGATTCGGAGGTGCTCAATGTTCCATGGACGGGGTTGTGCCTTGCTGTTCATGTCTTCAATCCAGTAGGTCCCAGGTCGGATCTCCTCCCTGATTTTATATAGACCTTTCCAGTTCGGGCCCAGGGAACCGATTCTTGGTTCCTTCGAGGAGATGAAGACTCTCCTAAGGACTAAGTCGTAGATTCGAAATGACCTCTTCTTTACCTTCGAGTTGAAGTACTTCGTCATCTTTCTTTGATATGTGTCGAGCTTCAGCTAGGCGTCATCTCTCCTTTCCTCAATAAAGTTGAGGTCCCACCTGTGAAGATCGTCGTTTGTTATCTCATTGAAATGCAGACATCGTGGAGATGGAAGTCCAACCTCGACGGGGCTCATCGCCTCAGTCCCATATACCATGAGGAAAGGTGGTTTCCTTGTTGGGGTTCTTGCGATGGTTCGGATTGCCCAAAGAACCTATGGCAGCTCATCCACCCAAACTCCTTTTGATGCATCAAGCTTCCTTTTTGGGACGTGCTTGATTGTCTTGTTCATAGCCTCAACTTTGCCATTTTCTTGTGGATGGTGAGGCGTGGAGAACTGCTTCTTGATGCCAAGTTCTTTACCCAAACTTCTGACCTTCTTGTTGTCGAACTCTCTACCATTGTCTGAGACGATCGAGTAGAGAATCTCGAACCGGCATATGATATTCTTCCACATGTGTATGAGAATGCTATGTACGGTTTATGTTCCTATCACTTATTGAAGGACTTGAAGTCGTCTTTTGGTGGGAAAAAAGGGGAAAGAATATTGTAGAACATTTCAATAGGCTGTAAGAGCATATTCTAGGTCTGATTTTGAGTTCCATATGAAACAACTTGACGAAATCGATACAGGTATTCAATCACATTTGGTATGTTCTCATTGTTAACTTCTATAATAACTGATGTCACTTTTTGTTTAAAAAGTGACATTCTGTCACTCTTTGATGTGTTCTCATTGCTAACTTCTATAATAATTGATGTCGCTTTTTGTTTAAAAAGTGACATCCCGTCACTTCTCAACCAAAGAGTGACAGAATGTCAATTTTTTTTTAATAGAGACATGATATGTCACTTTTTGTTTTAAAAATTTATGTGTTGATACTTTTTCTTAAAATTGAGTTTAAACAAAAAGTAACAGTCTATCACTTTTCAACCAAAGAGAGACAGAATGTCACTTTTTGTTAATAGTGATATGATATGTCACTTTTTGTTTAAAAAGTTTGTATGTGTTGATACTTCTTGTTAAAAGTGAGTCTAAAACATAACAGAAAGTCACTTTTTCTATTTTCGGTTAAATAAACATTAATATTTTGAATCTTTTTTGTGTAGAAAGATATTGGTTATGAGAAATGGTCGAGGGTTTACACGACAAAAATAGATTTTCTACAATGATTTCAAACATAGTTGAATCAGTAAATTCGGAATGCAGCCTACTAGCATATCACTGCATTTTTTCATTAAAACAATCTGTTTCATCTCTGTTCATTTAAAGCCTAATGTGAAACATCATTGTTGCAGGAGTCAATGATGGCATTCTTGAAGGAGTGGATGTGAACTCGTCTAATATTGTGGGTGATGATGGTTTTGCCAAGGAACTGGTAGGTGTTGAAAATGAGATAATCGTGCCTACGGTTGGTAAGAAATTTGCGAACGAGACTAAGGTATTCGAATTCTACAAGAGATACGCTTATCAAGTAGGATTTCCTATTAGAAAATGAAATACAAAGAGGGGAAATGATGGGATAGTACGGTATGTGAGTTTTACCTATAGTCGAGAAGGGCGACGTAATCGAAACAAAAGTACTTCATTGCATCCTCCACTGACAATTCAAACTCGGTGTAAAGCCAGATTGATTGCGTGTTCTGATGCACGTGGAGTATTTCGAATAAATGTTGTGCATTTAGAGCATAACCATAAAACAAGCCCATCTAAGTCGAGGTTGTATAGATGTAATAGGCAACTTAGTGAATGTGCCAAAAGATGGCTTGACGTAAAAGATATAGCAGGCATACCATTGCATAAAAGCTTTAATTCAACTGTAGTGGAGGCAGGTGGTTTTGATAACATGACATGTGTTGAGAAAGATTGCATAAACTTCATCGTGAAAGTGCGACGTTTAAGACTAGGGGAAGGGAAGAAAATGCAGTCACGTAGTCCTGGTTTTTTCTTTAGTATGGACTTGGATGATGATTGTTGGTTGAGAAATGTGTTTTGGGCAAATAACAGATGTCATGAAGCGTATAAGAAATTTGGGAATGTTGTTACTTTTGACACTACATACCTCTCTGACAAGTATGATATCCCTTTTGCTCCTTTCGAGGTGGTTAATCACCATGGACAGTCAACTCTTCTTGGTTGTGGTTTGGTTTCAAATGAAGATACTAACACATTTGTTTGGTTATTTCGACCATGGCTAGAATACACGAATGGTCAAGCTCCTAACGGAATAATTATAGATCAAGATCGAGCTATGTAAAATGCTATTCAAATAGGTAGTGCTTATGGCACCGAAAGAAGTTACTGAAGAAGTTTGGATATCACAAAGCCAGAGGTTCAATAATGCATGCTATACATGTGTTAGTCTACAACAAATTAAGTTGTGAAGAATTTGAGGAAGGCCGGTCGAATATGCTTGATCATTTTGAGTTACGCGATAATGATTGGTTGAGTGGACTCTATAAAGAGAGAAGTCGTTGGGTACCATGCTATCTGAACACTACATTTTGGGCTGGTATGTTAACCACGCAAAGGACTTCGTGAAATAGAGAAAGAATTTCAAGCTGATTTCAGATCATTTTTGCAAATGATTCCATGTGCCACTAAATACAGAAACAATTTCAAGATGTGTACACTATCACAAAATTTAGAGAGTTCCAAAAAGAGTTCACGGGGAAGGTATACTGTGAAATCTTATCTACGACAGACTTTCCCAGGCATACAAAGTACGAGGTACGTGAGGATATCATTCTTAGTGAGGGAATGAAGAAAAGAATATTTACAGTTAATTTCGTTACAGACAGTTGTGAGATTGACTGCAATTGTCATTTATTTGAGTTTCAAGGTATCATTTGCAAACACTCAATATTAGTTTTAATTCGGAATGACGTACAGTTGCTTCTCAAGAAGTATGTCTTGCGAAGATGAAGGCGAGATGTTAGTAGACCATATATGTAGGTCCCAACGATGTACGATGGTATGGTTTGTGCAGTTGAACAATTAAGGTTCGAGAGGTTGTGTCTCACTTTTACGAAGATGGCGGACTTGATAGCATCGAATGAAGAACGGTCCAACCATTTATTAGGGTGGATTGAATTCCAAACAAACCAATTATCTAAATCGAATTGTGATAACTCAGGTGTGTACGTACCTGAAGCTCGAAATGATGAAAGCATTCACATTTTGGATCCGAAGCTTACAAAAAGAAAAGGTGCCCCCAGAAAATTTACGCAAAAAGAGTCCGTCGGAGGTGAATTCAAAAAAATCAAAGGGTTGAAAGAATCTTACTATCTTTGCGTTACTCTTATCCGCCACTCAATTGTATAATCAATCAATTGCCTTTTAACCAACTTACTGTTTGCATCATGTACAGGGTCCAACAAGTTCAACACTTTCAATGAAGCTTGGTAGACCGAAAGAAAATGTCGCAAACACAAAAAATGATGACGAGGCCAAAGATCATTGCATTTCATCCTCTCAAACACATCAATTTTTTGTAACGCAAGAGAGTGTTGATGTTATTGAACGTTTGTAGGCAGAATCTATTGACTTGAATGTGTTCTTCTACACCAAGATGTAAAGCCTCTCTCTTTTGATAAGCAACATGAGGCAGAATCTAATAGTATGGGACTTCTTGTACTTTTGTAATACGGTTATTAAGGTGGCTCGGATTGTATATTATTTTGTAAAATGAAGGTTGTAATATTTTGAAACATGAGCCAGAATCTAAATATCATGTGGCTTGAATTGTCTATAACGTAATGGATTTTCCTTTTGAAAGAATTATCAATTTGCAAATATTCGGTTACATAAGTTCTTGTTATTGGATTCAAATTCTTATTATGTTGATCCACATATTCTCTATTTGGATATCTATATTGATATCTCAAGTATGGACAACATACTATCGTGCGAAAATTTAAAGGAAATTTTGACATTAGATTGGAAATGAAATTTGATCAATTTAAGTGCCACATAGGAGACAAACTATTACAATTGCTTTTTAACTCGAGAAGAATAATTGGAACGAACATACAATTTACCCAAACCGTACATATTCTTGTGGGGGTTATGCTTACAGATTCTTTCCTGATAAAGCTGCATCATTGACACTAGAAATTGTCAGTTATCTTGTTCAAGTTAGTCATGAATCGAATCTACCTTATCTAGCTCTTCTACACAGAACCAAGGAATTAAAATGTGGCTCAACATTAACATAAACATAAGCTTCGTTGAAATATCTGATTACATAAGTTCGACAAGCTGCTACAACTACACAAGACACCTAAACATAAACATAAAAATCAGTTCTACTGCATTCGCTTTTCCTTGACAATATCTTCCAATTTCCTTTTCGGATAGTTATGTTGAATGATATCTCCACATCCCCTTCTTCTATCTTTAATTCGGCAACACTTTTCAACAGGTCATCAATTGGTGCTTTAGCTTTATTTGGAGACATCCCAACAGTGCTTGATTGCATTCCATCACAATAATTACTAGGCTGTCCTTCAAATGGCAAGAGTTTCTTCTTCGAGGACTTCCCGTCATTCCAGTCAAAATAACCGCAATCTTTTGTACAACACAAGAATATTCAGCTTATGTTGTGCGTATTCTTCTCAACCTCCATCATTTTTACAATTCCTTGTAAACAGTTCAGATTTTTATTTTTATTTTTATTTTTTTTTTGGGGGACATTCATACAGTTGATGCCCAGGTTGTCAACAACTATGACAGATACCCCTATTCTTTCCAGCCATTGATTAATACAACAGCAAGTTATGACGAATTTCTTTATTAGGTAGCAAACAATTTGGAGACATAATCTACGTTCATAAACACACATACTAGTTTGAACATTATCTTCAGTGAATAGATAGTCGGTCGATTTCCACCTGTGGAAGATTTGTATCGAAATCACACCTAAGCCCAGCTTGCTTAATAGCATTATCAAAACACATCAATTAATACGATTATATGATACATTACATTCAAATGAAGTAGCATAACCTAAGTTCATATAAATATATGTTGCTTACTTAGGGTTCATTACCCCCAATAGTCACTGAATCAAGAGATTTACTGAACAACCCCAAACTTTGATAATAATCATTGATAGTGTATTTTTACTTTCAAAATGAATTATATTTTTCAAGTACAAGTTGAAAAAGTTTGTCAGCAACTAATGCTTTAATTATGTCAGATGTCGTGGCTATTCTTTCGGAATAGGTTGTGGATCTTCACAATTTGTGAGTGAATGAGATGTCTTATAAACTTGATTCACATATTTAATTGAGTTTAGTGTATAAAAACTTATTTAATTGTGTCCTCAGACAATAATGTTCTCCTTCAAACAACACGAGGTTCATTAGGTAACTTAGGCTATGCAATATTTAGTCGTGTTTATTACTGTGTACGAGCTATTAACTACTAGAATTTAATTTCGATATATATTTTTTACAATGAAGTTTTGAGATGATTTGTGAATTATTATAAACGCATTTCATATTTTTATTTCTACCGAATTGTTATATGGTTCACGCATCAAAATACACCAAGCTGGCAAACGCATTGCCTTACATATGTAAAACACCCTAGTTATTTCATTGCTTACTTGTGAAATTTGAACCATTTGCATTTTTAATAACTAAATATGGTAACAAATCAAAATAATGAGAACCATGGTATTACCCAATTGCAAATACAAATATTTCCCAATATCCTTCCGTAACATTCAAAACATCAATGTCTTTTTTATATAGTTAAAATTGAACACTAGAATTTGCAACGCTTCCTTTATCCGCACCCCTTGTAAACCCTAACAAAAACATTTTGGTAAAAAGAAAAATATTATTTTGTATAAAAACAATTTATATATATATATAAACAAAGTTAATATTGTCATACCATCTTATTATCACCCATGTGACTACTTTTCCTTTGTTCAATTTTGGTAAATCCTAACCAAAATATATGGATATAACTAAAAAAAAAAAATGGTTAGTTTGTATATTAATAAATAATAATTAAAGAATTAAAGAAAACGGTTAATGAGGAGAACACCTTTAATATTAGTAACACCATGATCTAATTTCCAAGAACCGGCATGAACAACTCTATTTTTGTGTCTTATTGAATTTTCTAACCTCGCAAAGCCCCAAAAGTCGTTTCCATACGTTACTATTAATCAAATAAATTCAAGGTGTTTATCTCGGTGAAAATTTTATTTGGAAAATGATATTAAGAAAAATAGACAACATTTTTATCAACCACAATTTTTTTCCAACTAAAAATGATGCAGTAAATATGTGAATACCTGATGAGATATCCGGTGTATGGTTAAATATCAGGAACTGTGATCGAAAGGGTATGTTCAAATTTTTTGTTCTAAGCAGGTCAATCCTCTCTAAATCTGACATATTTTGTACCATTGGAAACATTGCAACCGGAGCCTCAATGGTATGCATCTGGTCCAGGTTATCCACGTTCAAATTTAGATCTATTGTCATATTACCTACAGTTGGTTGATGGTTTATATTGTGATAATGATCGATAAGGTCCAATGTTAGTTCACTTAATACTGAACTTTCAAAAGCATCAAGAAAACTTTGATAGCCAGTAGACGGAGGAGGAAACTGATGATTTGTCTGTGGAACTTGAAGTGAAGAATCTTCAGTAGTATCAATTGATCTTATCAAGAATTGCTTGAGCAAAAAACATGTTTTGTGTTCCAAATCTCCTTAGATTCCAAACATGTAAAAATATATTTTTCATAATAATTAAGTATCTCCTTATCCATATTTTTCTTTTGGCTGAAAGGGGAAAAAGAGAAATGGAGAGAAGAGTGAAAGGCGTGTCTACTTGGCTGAAAGGGTGAAGAAGGAAGAAGAGAAATGGAGAGAAAAGTGAGAGGCGTGTCTACTTTTGGGAAGAAACACTCCCTCCCCTTATATAGGAATAAACTTACACGTACATAAAGTATTTCACATGTAAAAAGAGTGTATCAATATGGATCAAATAATCAATTGGGTGTACATTCAGAGATGGATAAAATTGCTTCTTACCCTTATTTTTATTATATGTATATCCTCCCATCCTCCAGTCAGTAGGCTTGCTACATCTCTTAAGAATTATCTTAACTTTCCCTTAGTCCCTTTAATCGAAGGTGAATGTGATCTTATTTAGAACATCTTCGATATTAGTAACACCATGATCTAATTTCCAAGAACCGGCTTTAGCACGCAAAACACCTGCATGAACAACTCTATTTTTACGTCTTATTGAAGTTTTTAACCACGCAAAGCCCCAAAAGTTGTTTCCATACGTTACTGTTAATCAAATAAATTTGAGGTGTTTATCTCAGTGAAATTATCATCTGGAAAACAATTTTAAGAAAATTTGTTATTCTTGGCCATTTCGCGCACCATTAACGACGTGAAATACTAGGTCGTGACTTCAAAATAATGTTAAGAATGTAATATTTCGATTTCGTTTGATATCTCGTATGAGCCCGAAAATTAAGATAAAAACATAAATAATTTAATGAATTTTATTAACACTTTCCTCCAAGCCCGCGTCCCACTTTTTGTACATGTGAAATATTTTCTGTACATGTAGGTTTATTCCTATATAAGGTGAGGGAGTGTTTCTTTTCAAAAGCAGATGCCTCTCACTCTTCTCTCCATTTCTCTTTCTCCTTCTTCCCCCTTTCAGCCAAACAGACACACCTCTCACTCTATTTCTCTTCTTCCCCTTTCAGCCAAAAAAAATATGGATGAGGAGATATTTAATTATTATGAAAAATATATTTTTACATGCCTGGAATCCAAGGAGATTTCGAACACAAAATAACATGTTTCTTGCTCAAGCAATTCTTGATAAGATTAATTGATCCTATTGAAAATTCTCCACTTCAAGTTCCACAGGCAAATCATCAGTTTCCTCCTCCATCCCCTGGCTATCAAACTTTTCTTGATGCTTTTTCAGTATTAAGTGGACTAACATTGAACCTTATCGATCATTACCACAACATAAACCCTCAACCAACTGTAGGTTATATGACAATGAATCCAAATTTGAACGTGGATAACTTGGACTAGATATATCCCCCCCCCCCCCCCCCCAAACGCACCCCTTCCCTCTAATGGAGGTCAAATACATTACATGACTTACCAATGCTCTACCTAAAGGTGACCAGTTGAAAAGTTGATACTAATGCACAAAGAAACACAAAAATAAAATTAATACTTGCCACGCAGGTGTAGAACGTGGTAGTACATGATGATAAAAATGTTTGACATAAAAATTGCTGGTTTACAGGAGCATAAAATATTTTACCCATCAAATAATAAAGCATGCATTAAAAAATGAAAGTGGATAGGAACGAAGTGGTAAAAGGATATGATATTGCAGCATCTACAAATTAAGAGGTTGTTTGAGCCCATTTTTCTAGAAAAATATATTTTGCAATAATGTTACGATGAAGAGTATGTGATTAAAAAATAAGAAAAAAATTTATAATATTATTTTATTAAAAAATATGTTGCTGAAATAATATTAAATCACTTTTGAATAATGTATTTTGATGAAAAATAGGGCTCAAACAAGAGCTAAAAGCAATGAGACAAGATGGCACTTACAATAGTATACTAAGATGAATGGGTAATTCTTGCATTGTCATTTCTGCTTCTTATCTTGGCTGTTTATAAACATTGGGACCTGAATATACCATATATATTAGAATAATTGCATTAAATCAATTATTAGAAATTAAAAAAATAAGCCAAGATGGGACTTAGATCTAGAGGAACAACGCACAAATATAAATACAGAAAGTAGCTTAACGAAGGGAACATAGATCTTACCGCAATTTTTGCCCTTTCTATCGAACTCTTTCTTCAACTGTCAATTGGGTTCATAGCAACCTCGTTCCTATTGATCGTCGTTCAAAATACACAATCAGTATAAAAGATGTTCGAACAGAAAAAAGAACGATTTCCACACAACTACAAAAAATAAAGCCTAAACTGTAGATCTTACCGAAGAAACAGTCGATTGGGTTCATAGAAATCATAGAAACCTCGTTCCTGCCGATCGTCGTTCAAAATGCATATCAGTAAAACGGAGATTTTCGAACAGAAAAAAGAACAATGTCCGTGCGACAACAGAAGAGCGGTGTATCAGAAGAGTAATAACGGAAATTTTTGAAATAGAAGAAAAGGGCATTTTTAGGGTTTTTGCACCAAATGAATGAGAAACAGAAAAGTGCGTGAGAAGAATGAGAGTGGAAGACAAAGGGTTGCTTACAAAACACACTGAAAAAGACTTGTGTGGCTAGGGAAAAAAGGTTTCTGACGCAAGGTCAGAAAATGATGGTTTTCACATGCAAACATTAAATGCAAGAACAAAATGGGTAAGGAAGAGTGGGAAAAAAATAGCTGGGCACTGATTAAAAAATTAAAAAAATTAAAAAGAAAATGACAACGAAAAAGGAAAAATAATTTGGAAGGCACGATTTCTTAGAAACGGTGCCTTCAAAACTGGCTCTTTTAGTTTAAAAATGTTGAATCCCCAACCTAAAGGGTCTTCATCGGCTCATCTTTAGAATTTTGTAAAGTAGGTAAATCGCAGGATATGTCTCAAACAGGTTAGGGAACAAGAGCTGTCTGTACATTATGCCTACAAGGAGTCCAATTTCATATTTCAAAAATCGAACTCCCACATCGCGACTGTCAGCAAGGTATGAGATAACCTCACTCCTGTCCTTTGCACCGCTGAACTATGCCCCGAAGGGCACTCTTTTAGTTTATTAGGATTAGTGATAGGGAAAGCATCATGAATAATTCGAAAAGCCCGTCTTTATTTGTACAATATTCACTAGCAAATCATGGTAGAGTCAAATTTTTACCATGAGGGTAAAAAGTAAAATGATGAAATTATACATATATTTTGTACACATTAAGAACAGTTTCAAAATTAATACATAGATTTAAAGAAAATTTCATGTAGTAAATCGAAAAATAAATCCAACTGTTAATGCTAGCTTCTGCGGCACTCAAATTAAACTACTAAACTAATGCTTATAAAGTTTGGATAAGCTAAATAATTTAATTTGTATTAATCATCATCACGAACTAATGTATATCGAATATCGGACAATTCCTCCTACTCATAAATTTGATACACTTATTTGACAAATAATCGTGACTTTTAATTTAAATCAATTCAACATTCAATATGTATTCTACTAAGATTATGAAAGAGTTTATTATAATAACTTGAAATCCATAAAATATTAAATGTTGGATTAACTTAATTTAAAGATCACGATAATTTGTCAAATACGTGTATCAAATTTATGAGTAGGGATAATGATCCCGATCAAATATATATATTAAAAAGTTGATGTACCGTTATCGCACTCATTTATAGTTCACTAAACAAAACATTTTTCCTTCCATTAACCAACCCAGATTTAATTGTGATTCGTAACTTAAATCTATTCTTAATCAATCATTATGGTTTAATAATAATCTGGATTATTGATGTATTAAAAATAGTCTTATCTTATTTCAACTACTAGTGATTTGAACTTACGGCTCCATTTGTAAATCCAGATCTTTTTACCTTCCTTCTTACAATTAAGAGTGAAGTTTATATTTTCCTGAAATTTCATAAATTGTGCTATTTGTACAAAGTGTGTTTACAAAATTGGTGATTGAATTTTTTTTTTTTTTTTTTTTCAAAAACCAATGTAAAAATGGCAAGTAATCCCCTGTAAAAAGCCTAGCTGAATTTTCCTGTTCACCAAACAAGATTCTACTTTCCTTCATGGGAATACTATTGTTATCTCTCAACGTTCTTCACATGTGTTTAAGTGTGAGATTTGACGGTGTTCACCACTTGAAAAATAAGTAAAAACATAAATAATAACAAATAAACTCGAGGTTCAATTTATAAAAGTCTTCTAGAGGAATCTTCCCACTCAATATCTTGAAATTATGGACGGAAATTTAACCCGCCCCGCCCTGAATGGGCAAAAAAAAAACAAAAAACAAAAAACAAAAACACCACCCCTACAGGTTGGTGGGGCAAGACAGGCCGCCCTGTCATGGGTTGCGAGGCATCCCTGCCCCGTGAAGGAAAGTAAATAAATAAAATTAATTTTATTTGTAAAAAATGGTGAAAAAAGATTTAAAAAAAAAAAATGGGTTGGCAAATGGGGCAAAACTTTGCCCCGAACCTGCTTCGCTAGACTTGGCGGGGCAAGGTTGTGGCGTGGCACCTCTGACCCGAACCCGCCCCATTGCCATCTCTACGTGAAATAGCTCGAGCAAGATTGACTTCATTAGTTATTCTCACTGTCACAATATAAACTAAAGTCTTATTTTCAATAAATTTAAAGACAACTACATGAATTTTTGTATATTATGCTAGAGCTACTAAAAAATCCATAGCAAAATCAAGAGTGAAAAATGTTTATAGACGATTTATATTATAAATATAAAAATGGGCATTGAATAAGTAAATAATGTTAGAATTTGGGCATGACCCTAATTCTTTGTTGAAAATAATTAATAGTTCTAATTTAAGTGCACATTAATTAGAATCCTATTTGGATTGCAATTGTGAAACTTTTGGACATTTTATTTCATCTATAACTCTACTTTTAGAGCTTGGATTGTTCACTATAAATACTAGACCATTCTAATTTTTGTGAGTCGGAAGCATTATTGCTGATATTGTATTTTTCTCTCTATTGATTATCAATTAGGGTCCGTTTGATTATGAGAATGGAATTTGGGAGGAAAGAAAACGAATTGTAGGGAATTGAATTGTCTATAACTTGTTTTAGTGAGAATTGTCAATTAATAATGTTTGATTGGCATAAATTTTCACTTGAAAAATGTTAAAATAAAAGTATCTTTTGGTGTTCTTCTGACTTTATTTTTCATTAAAATTGTCGATTTAAGGATTATCTTCTTTTACAATTGTTCCTATAATTTGTTTTCATTGCAAATAAATAAATAAATTCCAAGAACACCAAAAATCATCAAAAATGTTATGTCTAAAAATTGTAATTGGCGATTCTGCCAGACAAAATGGGCTTAATTGTAAATTTATAAAAGTCAGGGATTGAATTGAACAATGTTGTAAAAGTCAGGGGCTTAGGGTGCAATTTAGCAAAGTTATTTGGTAGAGACTAGGGTTTGAGTCTTAGGTTCAAATCAAGAATGCGGCGTCAGAATTTCGCTAGTTGTTAGTCCTTCCATCGCTCGAGCGAGAAAAACAAAATGATCGTCGCTCGCTTTTTGCCCCATCGTCGCTCGAACGAAAACCTGTCACTCGATTTTCGCTAACTTGTCGCTCGAGCAACAGTGTTATACGGTCAACCCTAACTCGTGTTTTTGGAAGTTTTACACCGACTACAACACTCGTACACCTCCAAATATAAATACAAAGGGCCTTGCACGGAAAACAGAGATTGCAATATTGTGCCTTCATATGATATTATCCTCCCAACATATTTGAGAGATCCAAGGAGTGCTTCAAACATTAAATCAATCATATTGTTCTTGTGATCAAGGCAATCTACCTTTGGGAAAACATCAAGGTTTCAGAAGATATAACACAGGTGGTTCCTTAATCCTTTGAGGATCGAACTTTCTCATTGGGGGATTGAGAGACGTAGACGACAAGCGTAGTGAACTGGACAAGAACAGGTGGTTCTTGGAATTCCACTTGGTGGTACAATCGGCTAAAGACCAGGAGGCTGTAATGGACAGTAGATTGGACTGCAGGATATAGATCGAAAAATCTAGCAGGAGGCTAAGAGCATCTACAGTAGTAGATCGTGAAACTGAAATAGCGGATCTGATTGGATACAAGGTTTGGTAACTTGTACTTGTTGAGTTGGTATAGTGGAAATTGTTGGCTTGATCCCGGAGTTTTACCCACGTTGGGGTTTCTCCGTCATCATATTGTGAGTTGATGTTCAAACTATTTTATTTACATTACGCAAACCGACAGTTCAACCTTAGGAATTAATTGGATTTGATTGTTTAATCACCTAGACAACAATTAATAAGTGACTTGTTACTTTTAATTGTATCAATTTCGAACGTAAAGTCAAATTGCTAATTGGAACGAAAACTTGGTAAGCTTAAAATTTGGATTTGATGTAGTAAAACGTTCCTAGATGACTTTTCACAAAAAATCATCTATCTTTTTGCATTCGTTTGACTCTATTTGACATGAAAATTGTCAATTTAAGGGATATCCCCTTTTACAATTGTTCCTATAATTTGTTTCCATTGCCAAAAAAAAAAAA